ATAATTTGTAGAATTACCTTTTTTTTGACTAGATTTTTTGTTGAGTTCCGACGTGACTAGGATTCGCAGAAATTTTGGCACTCCTTTAACATAGTACTTAACAAAAACAAAGAATTTTAACATTTATATACTTAGGTATTATCTAACATAATCCTTAAACCAGGATATGTTCCTAAACACAGTGTTCCAATCTCAGACAATATTAGTAAAATATTTCAATAAGTATTTATACATATATTAAATGCTTTCGTAATACAAATTGTCATTAAACGATATATTATATATTAACTTTGGATAATAGTTATTTTAAAAAAGGCAACTTTTTATAAATACTACTATAACCTCTCTTAATCAGTTGTTTTTTTATATTGTTGTTTGTAGTAAGACGCTTCTTCTGCGTCTAGTGTCTATATGATAAAGCATTACTTATAAAACTATAAACACAGATTACAGTTTATATGTCCAACATGGCTCACATCACTTTCTCATATGCGTTTCTGGTTTCTACTAACAAACTGGGGTTGATCTGAGTTTCTGGTTTCAACTAACAAACTGAAGTTGATCTGAGTTTCTGGTTTCTGCTAAAAAACTGAGGTTGATCTGAGTTTCTGGTTTCTACTAACAAACTGAGGTTGATCTGAGTTTCTGGTTTCTACTAACAAACTGAAGTTGATCTGAGTTTCTGGTTTACTCCCGCTCTATAAGTATGTTTCATAACTAGTTGAAACATCGTACGCTCACAACAAATACTCAATAAATATATTTCGTAACAATATAAGGCGTCACACCCACGCTATAAATGTGTTCCGTGAGGATGTGAAACATCAAACTCCTATAACACCTACTTTTTAAATGTGTTATGTAAGTAGCTTAAGGTGTTTATAAGGAAAATAGGTTGTGCACGAGTGCTTACCAACAGGGCCGTGTTAGTGTGAATAGGATGAAAGGTTACATTATTCCAAATAAGGCGAGTGGTTAGTACAACATTAAATATCCTACAGCATTGTTGTATGTCTAACAACTCAGCGGTAATTCCCAGAAAACCTTTGATTTGGTTAATTTCTCTGGCATTTCAATAAGAAAACGTACTGAAACGATTTATTACGAAATTATGTTTCATTGGCCCACTGATATATTACCGACGATCTTCCTCTGGTGGCAGCTAGAACTGGCAGCTATGTTTTATACAAGACATGTTTATATATCCTTGTAGGTTTTCTGAGAATTGTATATCAACATTTTAGCTTGTTAGCAGAAACCAGAAACTCAGATCAACCTCAGTTTGTTAGCAGCCCGCTCTATAAGTATGTTTCATAACTAGTTGAAACATCGTACCTTCATGAGTCATGAAGGTACGATGTTTCAACTAGTTATGAAACATACTTATAGAGCGGGAGTCATGAAGGTACGATGTTTCACATTGTCACGGACCACATTTATTACAGGGTGTGGGCGTTATAAGTTTCAAATTCTTACGGAACAAAGAGTGGGTGTTCTGAGTGCACATCAAGTATGATGAGCACTTCATGCCTCATATTGTTCTGAAACTTGTTGAAATCGTAGGAGATATGACTAACGATGTTTCACATTTTCACACAGCAAGTTTCCACAGTAGGAGATATGACTAACGATGTTTCACATTTTCACACAGCAAGTTTATACAGTAGGAGATATGACGAAGGATGTTTCACATTTTCACACAGCAAGTTTATACAGTAGGAGATATGACTAACGATGTTTCACATTTTCAAACAGCAAGTTTCCACAGTAGGAGATATGACGAACGATATTTCACATTTTCACACAGCAAGTTTATACAGTAGGAGATGTGACGAAGGATGTTTCACATTTTCAAACAGCAAGTTTATACAGTAGGAGATATGACGAAGGATGTTTAACATTTTCACACAGCAAGTTTCCACAGTAGAAGATATGACTAACGAAGTTTCACACAGCAAGTTTATACAGTAGGAGATGTGACGAAGGATGTTTCACATTTTCACACAGCAAGTTTCCACAGTAGAAGATATGACTAACGAAATTTCACATTTTCACACAGCAAGTTTATACAGTAGGAGATGTGACGAAGGATGTTTCACATTTTTACACAGCAAGTTTCCACGGTAGAAGATATGACTAACGAAGTTTCACATTTTCACACAGCAAGTTTACACAGTAGGAGATGTGACGAAGGATGTTTCACATTTTTACACAGCAAGTTTCCACGGTAGGAGATATAACTAACCCAAGTGCAAATGGCGTTCAAGAATTCACATTGTCACACAGCAAAGCCCACGAGCAGATGCTAAAGGTGTACGAACAAGGCTTGGTTGAATAGATGACGAAGACCCAAACACTGAATAACCCTTTCTTGTGTGGCTGGCTTGGACCCACCTTTCAATCTTCTGAATCTTGTAAGATAATCCATTCAATTTCAATGTTAACAAGAAAACTTGTAAAATCAATGAACATGTCAACATAAAGAAACTTTATCTAATTTACCAATAAAGATGGAATATGTCAACAAATAATAACTTGGAAGTAATTTATCAATAAAGATGGAATATGTTAACAAATAACAACTTGGAAGTAATTTATCAATAAAGATGGAATATGTTAACAAATAACAAGTTGGAAATAATTTATCAATAAAAATGGAAAATGTC